ATAGCTCTGGACTTAAGCATTTCAATTATGGGAATGTCTCATGGGGACCAGACTAACAGACCTTGGAAAACTGTTTTAATGCAAATGCATCGTGTGGGCTTTTATTCTGTAAGACGGTGCAGGATGCCTAAAGATTTGCAAAGAAGCTGAGCAATAAAATAAAAGTTAAAATAATTTCAAATTATATAATGGCACAGGACTGATTGTGAGCAGGTAGAGTGGAGCACATGATTCCTCTTATACCATTGGTTCTTCTTCACTGGGTTGGGGTTTGATTCTTTCCACCAGCAGCCCCTGGCCTCATCCCTCGTGTTCTTTTAGCTGGAACACTGAAAGAATTGATTCACTTGTCTCCTGATCCCTTCCCTCCAACTTCTCCTGGGCTTCTATCCAGCCTGTGGCTCCTCATCCTTGGGTGGCAAAGGTTGATTTGTGGGACTGGGACTGAAATGCCATCTGCCCCTACCCTGCACTTTGGGGTGGTGATGGTGAGCTTTTTAGTGCCTCTGTGTCCTGATGTGTGAGAAGGACCAAGCCCTCCATTTTTCTTGGTATTGTGAGTCTTAAGGACAAGCTTATGCTAATACGTGTCTTGAAGGAACTAAATCCTGTTGGAAACCCCAGATGCACTCACAAGTCATTTTTGTGCTTTTGCAAATAGTGCCATAATGTACTGGTATTTTTAGATCATGCGGATATTTTCAGCTGGGGGAAAATCTTTTATTTTCTTTGTTAATTATGCTATGAATAGATCTTAGGCTACCGAGGAGAAATGAGTTGGTCTGCTGAAGCGGTGATCCCTTGTGAGTTCAGGTACCCACCTGGCTGCTCTGAATTGCTCACAGAGCTGGCTGCTGGAGCCATGATAACTTCTGCCAGCTGTGGATTAGGCCTGAAGTTTCCTGGGCTCTTTACAAAGACATGGCAAGCTGCCATTGCCCCCAGCTCAGGGCTGTGGATGAATAGCACAGCTTAGGTCTCAGCCATTCAGTGTGAATCAAGAAGGACCTTCGCATCATTCACATCATCGATGAAGAAAATTTAGGGTATCTTCCTCATTCACTAATTGATTTCTTTCCTAGCAATGGAGTAAGCAAAAGCTGTCCTTGTAATAACTGAAAATGAAAGGCAGGGACATGCATTTGATAAAAAGGAAAGATTTTCAGAATAATGATCTAGACCGTTTTCTGAAGTGAATCAGTGTGCCTATGCTGACTGCAGATCAGCTACGGCAGAGTCCTGGGCAAGAAACTCTGTGCACTGGCTTCAGGGAGGGATTGGTGATGGTAAGGATGCATGTTCTGAAACTTTGCAGGACTTTTTTAAGGACAAAAAAAAATCTAAGGAAAAATTGCATCATTGCTCAATATATGTTCCTCATAGTGATGTCTCTGAAAGACGAGGTGTCCGAGTCTCGATGCTATACTTTTCCACATGCCAACAACTGGTATTTCAGGCATGAATCACTAACCACCAGCTGAACTCAGCTCCATCAATGGGAAGAGTAAGCAAAGGAGAAAGAATTATCAGGGGTAGAGGATTTAAATACCTTTGTGTGGGTAAATTATTGCCTCATTTCTTAGATCTTCTCACTGGCCAAAAAGACGCTATCTCTGGAGACATTTTACTGAAGGCAGAAACCAATTAGAATAAGATTGTTGCACAACTAATAAAGTGTTTTCAGACATAATTATTTTTAGTGCTGTAGAAATACTAAAGAATTAGAGGAAAACATGTAAAAATACAGTTAGAAACTTTCTGTAGCATTTAGGCACCTTGATTGCTCATCTTTGAGGGTCAGCTGGTGTTCTGGCAATTTGCTGTGTTAGGCAGCTTTCCCTGTTTTGTCCTCTGGTACATAAATGCCAATTCTTACTTTTCTTCAGAATGTACCTATTCCAAATGTGCTAGAAACTCTTGCTTAAGCACATGCATTTAGTTCCTCAGGTTCCTTACCTGATTCAGCCAAGTGGAAATATACAGGGATCAAAAAAATCCTACGTCCCCTATGCCTTTATCTTAAAACAACAACCAAGGGCTTTAAGAAGTTCATGTAGTTGAGAAGTGATGCATGACTGCTTCTACATTAAAGAGTTCCATTGCTTTGTAAGATACAGTCATTAAGAAATATTTGCCATATGGTTTTACTTTTGATATTGTCCTCCACCCCATTTCGTTATGTGCTGTAGTTCCTTCAGGAGGCTTAACTACTTAACAGCTGCTTCTTTAGATTTAGCAAATAATTTCCAACCCTACTTGAGTTGGATGTTTAGTAAGTTGGATGGCAGTCTGAAACGCGGACTTCCTAGATGACAGTGCTGAAACTGTGAAATATCCTGCATTTGGCCACAGTGCTGCTTCTCCCCAGTGCTGTCAACACCAAGACTCAGGCTGTGAGAGCAAAACAGAAAGTTGCTGCTTCAGTGATTATTACTCAGACAGTGATGTACCCAACCATCCCGCTTTGCATCTCCCCTCAGCCCCGTTTCTGCTGTACCTAATAAATGTATTTCTTTATAAACAGTAATTTAGGACAATTAGGAGCAATTGCATAGTTAAACCTTTAAAAGGTTATCTTGCAATGTCATTTTCCTGACTAATGTGTTCCTGCTGCCATGTCATTTGTGAATAGACATGTGTTAGCCAGCTAGTGTGCTTCATCTGTGGTGACTTTGATTTATTTGCTCTGTAAATTGGGACTGAAGCAATAATGGAAACTGACATTAATTGTTTAACAGAGTCCTCTTTGTCACATCCTTTCCTTTCTCTGGGGTGTTTGAATGTTGAAACTTGTACAAAACTAATTGAAATTGCTGTGATGAGGACCAGTGTCCACTCAACTTTCTGTTCTTGAATGTCAGTGCACTTGAATGTCTGTTTAAAGCATGAGAGCTAAGCAGCTAACAGCAAATATCAGGGTTTCTTCTGTCATGCTATTATTGAAGAAGGCATTCCCAGTTAGAAATAGCATCACTTGGAGCTCTGTTGTTGGCTCTGTGTGCTGAAGCACTCAGCAGAGGGGCAGAGGGCACCCTCCCAGCTGGCCTTGCTGGAGACATTTCTGCTGCAGGGGCAGCCAGAACCCCCAAAGTGCCATGGGGCAACAGCGGAAGAGCATGCACCCTGCCTGGAGAAGCCCAAAAACCATACCATTATACTTCATTACCCTGCAAAGTGCGTTTTTGCCTGATAACCTCTTTTTACACTTTTCTGAAAGTGATACTGGTAATGTCCCTCTTCTGAAAAAGTGGCTGTGAAGAACTGCATTTGGAGGAAGTTTTATTCACAAGGCGGCTTCCCTTTATTTCCATACCCTCTACGCTAGCACTGGAGTAAAGCATCTGAATTGTCACAGCACTGTGCATGCTTCTGCATGGTATGATGGAAATTACTAGATGTATAGACTTAGGCTCTTTTTCTCAGTGGTCAGGCCCCTTTTGGCCCTTTAAGTAAATGCTTCTCCTTAGCATTAGCTGTGCATGAGTGTTTATTTGTTTCTGGGGACAATGCTGTAAGCACCGGAGCAGTCTGTGCTCTGCCACGGCTTTCTAACGAGAACGCAGAGTTTGTCTGCAGGAACCCATGAGGTGTGATTTGGCAGAGGAGCCTGACAGGAGGAATTGTCTGTGCGGTTGATGCTCATCCCTCCTTAGAGTCTGGTGGATGCTGTATTGCAGAAAAAGTCGTAGTGAGGGGACGCGCAGATTCACCTGATTTTTTTTCTCTGTTCTGAGGTGTTACTGGCAGTGTTTTGATGTTGACTTTTCTAACACTACTTTTTACAAAAGGGTGAGCTTTTATTTGTCTCGTATGTGCCTTGCTAGTTCACTTCTCAAATGTGTGATCTGAACTTCGCTGAAATTTCTTTGTAGTGTGAACCCAGGGCGTGATGAGCCACTGTGAAGTGTGTGGAAAAGCTCCAAACTGGTGGCCCTGCATTTGGTTCAGATCTCTGGAATCAGGGAAAGGCTTTTTGCTCATTTTAATGGCGCTAGGATCAGCCTAAAAGTCCCAGATAATTGATCTGTCAAGATCAATTTCCACTCTTTTTGAAGAATAAATATAATGACTTTTACACAATTCTATTCCTCAGAACAATTAGTACTCCAAAAAATCTTTACCTTAATACACAGCTGGGACTATATTTCATTAAAAAAAATTGGGAGGTATTTAAATTTACTCAATTTGACAGAAAGAAGTCTTGTTTCTGAAATAAGATATCTAGTATAATTCAACATTACAGCCACATCTGATTAGGGATTAATCTACTTTTTATAATTGCAGTTGGAATTAGATAAATGCATACAATAGCTGCATTGAGCACTCAAACTACGTAATTCAAAAAGAGAACTTGAAAGGCAACTGCTTAATATATTCATTTAAAAGAAACCCAGAGTCTGCCATTTAGAATGTGACTCTTGCTTGCTAGTGTAATGCCAAAATGCTCAGGAGTTAGAAGTTTTTCCCTTGTTTTTGGAGCAAGTGTTTCCAGAAGTAAGCAAGAGAGATCTTGTCTCTCTCATGCTGGGCTATGTACATGAACAAGGTTTGCCAGATTTCTCTGTTAATTCATTTTGGCCTTCTGATTAGCTGTCGTATTCTGTGATTCTTGTAATTTTGTCAGGTCAATTAACTGTTGTTCAGTGTTCAAAGGAGAAAGAAAGAGACAGCCTGGGCTGACACCATCGTTAGGTGCCAGTAGCCTGGGCACATCCTGTAATGCAATCCCTGCCTGATTATCTGTTGGTGTTAGTGCTGCATTGAGAGAATTGCAGAGGAAAAGTAAAGCAGAGCAATACACTGCAAATGCAAAGAGATTTCTCTTAAATGCAGAGCTGGATAATTTTCTTGCACTTAATTGCATCTCCTGAGACGCTGTTACAGGTTACAGTTTCAAGGCAATATTTAATAATGTTTTGACTGCTTTTTCACATACAGAGTCACTGTTTCATTCTTTTGTCTTCTCACCTGGTTCCACTCTTTTTTTGGTCTTCACACAGAAAATAGATGAAGAGAATGAGGCAAACTTGCTAGCAGTTCTCACTGAGACACTGGACAGCATCCCTGTGGATGAGGATGGGTTGCCTTCATTTGATGCACTGACAGATGGAGATGTGACCAATGAACATGACGCCAGCCCTGCCCCGATGCCCGACGGCACCCCTCCGCCCCAGGAGGCAGAAGAGCCGTCTCTAGTAAGAACCCTTCCTACTGTTTAACAAGAATTGGATGTGCCTCTGGCTACCCACTGCATGGGTATGATGTAGTCACAGTAAGGTCTGGACTTTTCACTTAGACTGAAAAGGAAAATCAAGTAAAGAACTGAAACTTAAGTGGGGAAGAAAACACACCAGTTAATCATAATGACTAATAAAGGAATCTACTAACGAGTAGATTGAAGAGATTATTTTTGAATTTCTTTTGCTAATGACTGACACTTTTGCTTATTATTCTGTTCAAATAAGTCAGGATAATATTTTTTAATTTGTGTTATATTTCTTGAGGCTCTTTCTTATATGTGTTTAGACTTTACTTTGGTGATCTGTAAAGACATGCCCATTGAGTCTGGCACACTGCAGGGCTAAATTTGTGCCTTTAACGCTCATTTGACCAGTAAGCACCAGCTTAGTGCTAATCAGGGCAAATCTGAATCTTGGGTGAGGATGTGAGTGAAACCTTACATGCATTTTGTTCTGTAAAGAAAGTTTGAGACAGGATTCTATTTCTGGTGAAAGTAATTTATCCCTGACTTCTGCAATAGCGGAGTCAGATACAAGCATCCATTATTCTGTTCAAGTTAACTTCTCTGTTTAGATCAGAGACTTGTTCCATTGAGCAAATCACTGCAAATTTTGCTTTGCCTTGGATTCAGAAATCCAAGGCCCCTGCCATTTCTGCTTGCCCTGCAGTATACTGCAGTAAATGGAAGGAACAGAAGTTTGTTGCCAAGCCTCAGAAGAAAATGAAATCTGTTTGCTCTGGGGAGTATTGAGCCCTTCCTTCTGTTTTAATGCACTTTGCTTGCTGAAATTGTAGTAGATAGTTTCAAGCAATAAGACAAAAAACTTAGACAGGTAATTTTAATCCATAAAGATGCATAACTTTACTTTTTTCCTTTCACCTCCTTTTCCCTATGTGTTTGTAGCTCAAGAAGCTCTTGCTGGCTCCAGCCAACACTCAGCTAAATTACAATGAATGCAGTGGTCTCAGCACACAAAACCATGCAAATACAAATCACAGGACCAGAACAAGCCCTGTGGTTAAGGTACAAATTTAATCTTTGTAATAAGGGGGGAAAAAAAGAAAGAAAAACTGTAACATGTCTTTTATGCTTTCAGCAATCAAGTAAGCAGTAGATCTATATGTGTGGTATTAATCTGCCTACTATCCAGCAACTGCTTCAAAAAACGTGAACAGATTATAGACTGGGTTCCAGAAAATCACCTGAGCTTCTTTATGCTCTGAATATTTCATTTTTGCTTTTTCTCTTGGCAGAGTTCAGCTGTAGTCCCACCGTCTGTTACTCTTGCCTACTTTATTGATACATGGAGTAGTAGGGGGTGCGATAAAATTTGCTGATGGGCTGGTGTTGTTTATGAGTGACTCCAGGATGCAAGACTGCCATTTTACCAGCTGTCTGGGCTAAGAAAAATTGCACTGGATTCTTGGCAAAAGATGTATATCAGCCATTAATTGGAAAGAATGGTGTCTCTGACATAATTCTGTTAGCAGGCAGTATTAAACAATGTTTGTCTTACCATTCACTGTAACTGAAAACGGAGCATTTAGGGGTACTTAAGAGAGTTGTGAATACTGGGCTCAAGCAATCAGCAGCAAATTAAGGTTTAAACCAGCTTATTTTTTTGTTCACAGTAAAGGCGCTGTAGGGTCTTGTTAGTTACATGTTGCTGAGTAGGAACATTGAAATGTTGGAGAAATGAAATAAAAAGCTGCATAAATGTCATTTAGGAATTTCAATGTAATTTTCTTTTCTTGTTCTGCAAACAATTATTCACAGCTCATAGATCTAGTACACTTAGACTGAACACTTCATTGAAAATCTCATCTCTTTAGAAAACCTATATCCATTCTGATAAGGTTCAGTTCACTAATTTTAGCTTCTTTTTTTCTTTTTTTTTTTTCCTTTTTTTCTTAATGCCCTGTTTTTAAGACTGAGAATTCGTGGAGCAATAAAGCGAAGAGTATTTGTCAACAACAAAAGCCACAAAGACGCCCCTGCTCTGAACTTCTCAAATATCTGACTACGAATGATGACCCTCCTCAGAACAAACCAGCAGAGAACAGGAACAGCAGCAAAGAGAAATGCACCTCCAAAAGGAAGCCCCATCTGCAGTCTCAGACAAATCACCTGCAAGGTAGGTGTGGGAGCACAGAGCATAGTTTTGGTTTTGGAGGGAAGCTGAGATAAATTGCTTGTGAATACCCTCGTACTCTTTTGTTCCTTGGATTATTACTGTAAACCCAGCATCTCTTTCTTCTGTATAGAGAGAGTTTAAAACAGTATAATGAAGTTAGAATTAGCTAGGTTTAACTTTTGAAGTTTTAATCCTGTCTCTGTTGCCCCCAGTCTCAGAAAAGGAACCTCAGAAGAAAAAAAAAAGTTTAACAAATGCTACATGTCAGTATATCAAGTGAGCTGGAGATATTTATTCACAGAGTACTGTACCACTAAGAAATCATTATACCCCTAAACAAGCTGGGCAGGCTGGTTCATTAGTGAGCTTCTTTCTTTTTGCCAGTGTAAAACCGAAGGCATTGTTAACCTGCCACATCGTCCTTAAGAGACAATAAATAGCGCTCTCACTGCTACAGAATAAGCAATAAATGTGTCATTCCTGTTAAAGCAGGAATGCTGGTTTGTAATTTTATTTTGTAAATAGTTGGAAGTTTAGCAACCATCCTGATCTTTCTCTCTCTTTAGATTCTTTATGACCAAAACTAAACACTTGTGTTGACTTTTAGTACCCTCCAATGTGTAAAGAACTGGGCTATATTACTTGCTTCGATAACAGAGAAGCAAGAACTTAGAGACTCCTCTTTTGCTTTCTCTTCCTCTGCTCTCCTGCCTGTTTTCCCAAGATAAAGAAGAACTGTAAAAGCTTATGAGCCCAAAGGGAGCTTATTTAAAGTTACTCTTGCTTTAAAATACATCTATGGATATACTTGTCTGGAATTGAGAAAGCCTAATACTTATCTCAGTAACATTGGTGCAAATCCTGGATGACTCCTCTGAAGCTGATGGAAGTCATCCAGCTGCAACAGAGATCAGTATATAACCCACTACATGTTGCCTTGGAGTTTGTAAAGTGAGAATTCTGAACTGCATATGTATTTTTTCCTTCTCACTTCTTCTCCCTGCTTTTTCAGCCTCCATCAAGTCTATTCTTTCACTCTTCATTAGGAGGTATAAGAAAACTTAACAAAATAATCTTTCCTCCCCATCGTTAAATGCCCTGCTCACAGCAGTGTGTTCTGACATCTATCGTATAGCTTTCTCCATTGTGGTTTCAAATTCTCTGAACAGTGTTTCTCGTAAGAAAGAAATCCAGCTGCCCCTAGAGCTTCTTGAATGTCAACTGCCACTCCTTCTGGCTGGTCTCAGCAGACTGCATCAGAGCAAAATCCTGATTGAAGCATTCATCTCAAACCTGGATCTTGTACAGCGAGGGTTGTGGAACCAGGCGTAAGCCTGCCAGACACAACCCAGGGCTTTACTAACACTGCTGGGTAGAATAAAGGATATCACATGTAAGATATCTTATACACACATGTATGATGTATGTAGTACATCGGTGTATGTGCACACGTACACAATTACTGATTAATAATCTTGCTGTTGGATCAGAGCTGCATTTCTTCCCCAAACTGTACAGATTTCATGCAAAGAAAGAAAGTAAAGTGGGTTGTAACACCAGTGTAAAGGGAGAAGTTAGGAAAGTCCTAAAAGGACATGCAGCCAATTCACCACTGATTAATAGATGACAGTGTCTTCTGTGATATTGCAGGTGAAATTACAGGCAGAGAGAAATTATTCTCTTTTTTTAATACCTGCAGTTTTATTTACAGACTTCTGAAATGTTTTCTCATCAAATTTGTCTCACACTCATATATGACTTCAATGTCAATGAATGAACATATAATACAAGAATATAATGCTTTCAGCTTGGACACTCTCTTTGTGCAGAACTGACCTTGCAGATTTGAGTGCTATTCGCAGATGTACAGTTGTTTATACATTTAATCAAAACTAAAATATTGTCTCCTTCAGTTTTAAAAGATAATCAGGGCCTGATATTTTCTTTCAAAGTTAGAAAAAGCTCACAAAAAAGAAGTGAAATGATATTTTCCTTTAGGGTTATTGTTGCAAACATATTGCAAACCCACGGGAATGTCCACAAACCCGTTCATGCCAAAGATCATCTGTGGTTTTACATTGAAATTTGCCCATGAGGAAATTTAGTTATTTTGAACCTGAATGTTTTCAATTTACAGAAACAAGCAACTTCATGTGGACTCTTTTAAATATAAATAAAACACACTATGATAGACCTTAAAAATTGAATAAACAGTCACTGTGGAAAATGATATTGGCTAAACGTTTACAGTGTCAGTGGGTGTAAATGAGGATGGAATCCTGTTTGGTCAAGCCCATGCTAACAATAAGAAAAATTAATGGTGTTTTGGTATATGAATTTCTCAGTGAGAGGGCTAAATAATATCTGCCTAAGTGAATACAGAGGAATGTGAGATGATGCTTGGGTGCTGTGTCTTAGTGTTTCAGATTTTATACATCAATTTATTTGGATCTGCCTCTCTATATGAGAGCTAGAAGGAGACTTTTTAGAAGCTTAAATAACTCTTACACATTCAGCTTTTGTAGAAAGGCCAAGCTGGGTAAGTGTATGTAGTTTTTGTTCTCTGAAAAACAGTAGGAGCATTTGTTTGTGCAGACTTTCTTCCTGAGCCTTTTGGTAAGGTCTGTTCTTTTTAGCCAGTTTTACCTCTAGGTAGGCACTGGCAACAGTCACAAACATTAGTATCCTAGGTGTATATAAAGTACTTGCAAAGTTGTGTCATCTTACAGATGGTCTTATGGAAACCTTTTTTATGCACAAATCACTGCCAGTGCTGGATCAGACACATAACCCGTTTTGGTGCATTTCCTCACTTTGGCAGTGAATTCTGAGGAAGGTGAACCTAAGGTGAACACCTGAGTTTCCATTTCTAACTTTCAGATGGGGAGGAGGAGGAACAATATGCAGCTCTTGAGAATTGAGTTAATTTTTTAAAAATTTAATATTACTCCAGGAATGCTCTAGAGCTTATAAAAGTAATCAATTTGCATATAAAATCCTTTAATGTCGATGGGAGCTCCAAGCCTGGAATGAATGCGAAATACGCAGTAGTGACACTCTGGACAAAAGATCTGCAGTGCAGAAGTGTTCAAGGGGAACATTTTGTCTTAAGTAATTAATTTGCAGAAGAGATCCCCTGCTGTTTTTCTTGGTACAATGCTCTCTGCATTTAAGCATCAGTCTAACTTCTGAAAAGTAAAATTTGCAAGTAATATTATTTTTAATTTTAAACGTTTTTCTGGCAATTAGAAAAATCTTAGTTGTATTGCAGTATTCTAGTTCTTGGCTTGTTTGGGGAAAATACAAGCTTGCATGAATAAAAGCTACAAAGACTTGTATTTTTATAGCTAGAGCTTTGTTTTTTTTGTGTTTGTTGGGATCATAGTACTGAGAGTGTCAGCCCCATTTTTAACCATCTGTGACTGAATCCATGGCTTGTCATAGTTTGCAGGATAATTTGCAGAAATTTGGACTATAGCAAGTTGGACTCTGGCCTCATAAAAACAACCTATTCTCAGTGCTACATATAAAATTGTATACTGTAGAAGTAAAATTAACTGAATATTCATAACGTTCTGTTAGTTTGTAGTTATTCTGCTGCTCTTGTTTTCAAATAAAATGTAGAGTGTATTCTAAATTAAATCTAGGAGAAAACAACATTTTCATGGTGTATCCTGTGGATTTCTTCATTGATTTTTAACATGTACCACTCTTCTTCTGAAAGGTTCTTGGCATTTGGGCTGTGTGCTGTATTTCAGAAGTGCAGTAACTGTTGTAAATCATTGTTGAAATTTAGCTACCCTTTTTATGCCAGTGCTAAGGAATCAGAATGTGACTCCTCATTTATCCGAAGTATACAGAAATGGCTATTGATCAATCAGAACCCAGCCCTAACTGACTAATAGGGGGTTTCCATCACAAAAATAAAAGACAACTTTTTGGTATATGTTATGGAGTGCTTAAATATTCCATAATCGTTTTCTTTTTTCCCCTTAGCCAAACCAACAAGTTTATCACTTCCGTTGACGCCTGAGTCTCCAAAGTAAGTAGTAAAAAGTGCAAACATTTATAAAAGGGAGGGGAATCTAATACATTTTGGCTACAGCAACTCCATTTCAGCTTGTTTTTATAAATGTGCCCTGTCTTCCAGTGATCCCAAGGGTTCCCCATTTGAGAACAAGACTATTGAACAAACCTTAAGTGTGGAACTCTCTGGAACTGCAGGTGAGAAATGGGTAGGGTTAGCTCTTCCTTTAAGCACGGTTTGGTGTGTGTTTGTTCATTTCAATATACAGCACGTACACTGAGATTTTACAGAGGTCTCCAGGAGATTAATTTCAGAGCAGTTTGCGTTGACTTTTTATCCAGTTGCCTGAGAGGGAATGTGTTTGAAAATATTGCTCCAAACCTACACAAGAGCGCATAATTTCTGGAAAAATATGAATGAAACCATTTATCTGTTATACTTCCCCATTTCCCCATAGATTTGTGTACTGCTGAGCACCATCTTTCAAAGACAAACCCCACAGCAGAGTGTAATCGATGTTACAGATGGAAAAGTTATGTCATCCAGTCTGTCTCCAGGCCAGTCTAGGGCTGTACGTGACTGCATGTTTCAGTGCTTTGTCAATTCTAGATTAATATGTCACAAATAACAGCTTTCTGCTCTGCCACTGAAAAACTATTCCATAGCTAAAAGGTAATTTTTTAAAATTGATATTCATTTTATGTTCTTACTTTCTCTTTATTTCTCCCATTAGCACACTTCACACCACCTCTTTTCTGTCTTCCTCCTCCTGTCTGGTCCCCAGTGTTTGTACCTTTCGAAGATGTGTAGATTTTTGATCATGTGCAGCTTCGGTTGATATGTCACCCATTACACTCATTTAATTCATCTGCTCTTTCCACAAAAGTTTTTCAGATCTCAGATCTGTTTTATTGCTTTCCTCTGACCTCTCTTTTGCCTCTGTTTTCCTGAAGTGTCCAGAACTGAGCACAAGAACACATGTTGAGCTCCACCTGAGCTACTGCCAAGAATGTTTTCTTTCTCAGTTGTGTAATACTGAAAAATAAATACTCGACATGTGTTTCTTACAGGGACATATATATAATATCTAGCATTTTGGGGTGTATCACAGAATAGGTCTTACAGTACTGAGGGCATCTTGAGGCCACCTTCAGTTCCATGGCAGCCTTACACAAGGGGAGGCCCAAGGTCTTCGTTTGTGTATGCACCTTGGGCAGTTGCTTTCACTGCCCCACAGCCATCATGTCACTTTTTCAGAAACTTCATTAATTCAGCATTAAAACATGCACACTTTCCTCTGACATGGCCTGAAAATCTGCGGTCTTAATCATTCCTCTAGTGACAAAATGCAACATCCTTGCAACACACCTTCCTTTTGCAAAACTGATACAGACATGGCAAAATTCACAGCATGCAGCAGGATAATCTAATTCAGTGCCAACAAGCCTGAAGCATGAAGAAGTCTTTTTTTGTCATTACTGGAGAGCAAATCTGCATGAAAGTGCATGTTTGGAGGCACACTGGTGAGTCAGTGCTTAGTGCTACCAGCTGGAAGGGGCAGATGAGGTGACGATAGCAGAGTTGTTCAGGCAGCGGTTGAGATCACTGAAGGGAGCAGTACTTTCTTCCAGACAGAAAGACAGCAGACTGCTCTTCACATCAGCTGGCTGGACAGAACCTGGGAGCTAATCTAACCTCTTGACAGTCCTCTAGTCTCAAGAATGGCAATAGGAATGGGCCGGGTGTTAGTGAGTTCATTTCCATGTGTCTGCTGTGCATGGGGGAGGCAGTGAAATGACTTTGTTGTTGTTTTAGATAGTATAACCAGGAAACGTAGCAAATTAAAAGATGCATCAGAGGCTGTGAAGTAAAAACAGCATTATCCTATGAAATATGAAATTATACCCCCTGGAAATAAATCTAGCTAGAAAATTAACTGATGATAACAAAGAACAGGAATTGTTGGAGCACATGCAGCCAGGGAGTTTGGGCAGTGTTTACAAGCAATGTAGTTGATGGTGGCTGCTGGACTTCATGTTGTACTTGCTCTGTTCTTCAAAATACCTGGTGAGAAGTTTTCAGGAGATTGCCTTTCATCACTTGACAGCTGTATTAATCTCTGCCTTCACATATACATAGATTTTATATTTGTGTGTGTATATAAATCTATAAAAAGATGAGTGGTTGTGCATGAATTCCTCTTCAAGTCATTTATTTGGATTGCAATAGTGTTTTTTGTCATGAGTTTACTTGTGCTGGAAGCAGACATAACAGAAACAACTTCTAGTACTGAAGAGCTTAAAGAGTATGTGAGTAAATAGAGGAAAAGCTGGGACCCATTTCAGTAAAAACAGCAACAACAAAAGAATAAAATACTGGCAGTAGTAATTAATAATATCTTGGAGTTCTTTAATGAGGCCCTAGCAACTCCAAATTATATCCAGGTAGCCACATTGTTCATTGTCCTTATACAGAGCAACTTGCACTGTATACTGTAATTTACAGAGGAGTTGCCTTGATCTTACTGATGAATTAAAAAGACCATTAGTAGTGCTGCTTGTACTATCGAAGCACAAAATATTTTAATATAAATAGCAGCTCCCTTGTTCTGTCTGCTGAAAACAGCACTGGTTCCCTCTCTGATGAATTAACTATAGAGAAGAAAAATAAATAAGCACATTTCCTGCACTAACCATCAATCTTTGTCATGTATACATTTTGGATTCACATATCTAAAGTCAAACTGAATCCATTCCCTTGCCAATGCTATAACTTGCTTTAGAATGGCTTTGTTAGTACTTGTGAGTGTAACAATGTCCTCCCTAGAACTGTCAAAACTTTTGTCATAAATCTGTCAAATGATAAAGAACAAATATCTTTTAAAGTGTTTTCAAGGGAGAATGTGTAAGAATGTACAAATTCTTTGAGTGCCCTTTTAATGTCTTGTGATAAACAAATAAGTCTATCTAAAATCACTACTCCTAGCTAGTTTTCAGTGCTGTTTTGTGGAAAATAGATCAGAACGTCATGACTTGGAGATAATGATAAAGTAGTGATAAAATTTCTGCATAAGGTGAGTCTTATTCGGAGTAAGGGCCTTCATCCCTTTTTCTGCAGCTAGCTGCAGTGCAAGCACTTTGCTAAGAAGCCATGGGCTGGAACATCTCTGATATCTTCCAGGGACATGGGAGGTTTTTGTGGTACTGGAGGACTCTTTTCTCTTTTCTCGTTGAAGAGATACCTGCAGATAGTAAGGCAACTCACCTCTGGAAGTGATGGTGTTTCTTTGAGAATTGAGGGCTCCTCCAGGAAGATAAATGGCATGGCTTTTTGCCCTCTTATGCCTTTTTAAGCCTTCATTCCTAAATACCTAAAGACACCTGGAAGTCTGTTTCCACTTCCTGTCTTCAACAGGTGTCTTAGTGAAAAGTCTCTCGCTAAGATCTTTGTAATTCACCTGAATATAAAACTCCAGTCTCTCCTGGGTGCAAAATTTGATCTCTTCAAAAAAAATGGTGGAAAAGGCAATATGAACATGATTGGCTTGCATAGTGATTTGGAATTCATGAGCATCCTTGAGGATACTTAAACCCTGCTATTTGCCCACCTCTAGGTCTGAGTTACTTCTTGGTTGTCAGAACAAATACTTCAGATCTAACATATAAGAACTTCTTTGACCTCAGAATGATTTCTGATCAAATGAGAGATGCAGAGAGTTGTCTGGGGGAATAAGATCTAGTGAATTATTAGATATTTTCAGGAGTCTGTATTTATTCTCTGCAGCACTGACAACAAGATTAAACTGAATACTAAACAAGCATGTAGTTTTTTATTATATGATGGCTATTTAATTTTATTATATTTTCCTGGCTTCTACAATCTTATGCCACCCAAAAACTCTGATTCTTTTTCTTTTTTTTTTACTGAATTGAGCTGTTACCATGTGTTCAGTGTTTTTAGTGGCCTTAAATAGTGTTTCCCTTGACAGTCCATTTTCAGACTTTAAAAGTATGAAAGAAATCATTTTCCATGCCTCTCAAAAGCTCAGTGCACATATAGGAAAGTTGCACAGCTGTGTTCGCCCAAAAATACTTATTCCCCCCACCAAAGCACAACAAACATCATCAAACTGTTTAAATGCCTACAGTTACAGTCGAATTCTAGGAAGATTGGTGTCTGGTTAAAACATCATTGCAAATGAGTCCTAAAAAGTCAAGATGTCACTTTTTATGCAAATGCAATTCCCTAATTTCTGATTATCGACTTAGCTGAGCTAAATGAGTTAACTAAGGTGGCTGTTTTTTAGTGCACTTTTGGTATGCATCACAAGTACCTCCACTCTCCCAGAGACTTAATGGAAAGAAGTCACTCAGGGTGGTAGTGGGGCCAGCATACATGGGAACACCTTTTGTTGCACCGACACAGAAGACAGTGCTGGGTTGGCAGCAGTATTCACAAATTGATAGGACTATTTTTGAGCACAACATGAGTGAGTTCACACTATCCAAACAGAGCAAGGCAAAGTGCAAATGTACCATTTACTGAAGCCATTCAATTAAACAAAAGTCCCTACAAAGAAAATGGTTTTATAGCATGTCATGAAAAAATACTTGCCTTTTACTTTAAAAAGAAAAAAGACTGTTTAAGGGGGGTGATTGTAGAGTATGTACCACTTCTAACAGATTTGCTGTGCAGAAGTACATAAGTGTGACTGATGTAGAGGTACTTGTTTATTATAGAGCACATTTCAATGCAGTAATCATAAATATTGCTAAGGTTGTGCTCTGTTGAAATATGACCTACATACTCTTGATTGTTTGTGTTACGTGATTTGTCTGACACCCATTACATTCTGGGTAATGGCAGCCATTTGTTGCTGTGCACAGCAGGCTCTTTTGACAAAAGAAAATAGGCAGCAATAAAAAAGCTATAGTCTGAATTACATTCTGCACAGTGCTGCACTGCTGAGAGTTTGTGCAAGTGTGTTAACAATGCTCTGAACTGCCTCTTGTCAGCCTTCAGCCCGTAATGGCCATCTGTCCTTCCATAAATCTGTCAAAACCTGCTAAGTTCAAGAGAGCACAGAATATACCTTGTACTGTCAACGCTAAAATGTACACTTTTGCAGAGAAATTGGTGTGTATGAAATAAAGGTTATAGAATACTGTAACACTTGATTTAGGATCATGGCCTGAAGTGAAGATTAGCAGTGATTAGTGTAACGATGAGCAGAAGTGACACCAACGAGCAAGTGTGCAGCCTTACCATTTTCTCAAAGTTCACATTTTGGGCACTGGTCATGGGACGTGCTGAAGGCAGACTCTGTAGCACCGACTTAAACAAGAACCAATTCAAAACTTTACTCCCCCTTCATCCCCCAGTGGAAGTTTGTTCAAAAGTTAACTGAACATTTTTCAACTTGTATCTGTTTATACTTGCTTGTGTGCTTCCTGCTTCTGCTGAAAACCAGGAAAAGAGCCAAAATGCCACGAGGAAGTCCTTTCTTAGGATGTCCCCAGCACAGTTTTGCCAGCAAAAGAAGTGCCAGTAAATTTGGCTCAGTCTGTACTTTTGGAAGGGTTTTTTGTTGTTGTTATTTTTTCCCCTCCCATCTACAGACTGTTGGACTCCTCATTGGGTTTCTGAAAACTGTTATGTTTTGAGTATTATTTGCTTTCTGTCAGGGCTATCTTTAAAGAAACGGGAATGGAAACAATATTTTGTTTTGAATATTAGATTATGTCTTGGGATTCTTGTACTGAAATTTTCATGTTTGAGATATTTACTGTGGAGTGGTTGAATTTTATAAGGATGAGCTGGAATTAATATTGTCCTACTTCATTCTTTCTTTATAAACACATCTGAAAATTCAGTAAGTAACCCCAGGTCATTTCTGGGGCTGTACTATTTCATGACTAAAAGTGCTAATTCTTGGTTGCTTTGTTTTATTTTGTTTTTTATTTAGAAAACAATCCTTACTTACTCAAATCTTGTAGATTTTTAACCCAGAAATGATTACTAAAGAATTTGGAAGAGGCCTGATCATTTTGCTGGGAATTTGTTTAGTAAACAGAAATATTTGTTAGCAAGGAGGTAGATAAAGTGTGAAATCTATGCTGCTGAATTAGATGAATTTTTGGGAAGGAAATGAAAATTGAGGACAAATTAGAGGAAGTAGTTGATGACTTGGCACAAAACTTTTTCAGTTTTAAATTCACATTTGGGCTAACTAGACTTACTAGACTCTTTGCTTCAATTTCTCTGACTTTGGTGGCATTAGGCAAAGTGTTTACATAACCATGTAACCATTTTTTCCAAGTGCTCAGACAAAATTAGTCTTCTTTCTCACAACTGCTACTCATGTCTTAGTACTCGTATCAGGTTTTTTGTTTTTTGTTTTTTTTACTGAAACAAATTCATTGCAGACAATGCAATGGGACTCCCAGTCTCCATTTCTGATCCTTAGGGAGCACTATGAATTGATGGACGCTTTTTTTCTCTACAGCAAAACACTATAAAATATGTTCCATTTGCATTGATCTGCTGAGCTCCATTGTATGGTTAAAAAGATAAAACTCTGCAGCCATGTTTGAAACACTCATTTCTTGGAAGTGTCTGCACTCTTTTCATTCTTGCTATGGAAGTCATGGAAAGCTCATTGCTTGGGCTAGAAAAGGAAATCTTGGACAGCATTGTTCAGTGTACTGTTACTCTGCACAGGGTTATTCTTTGTAAAGTCTGAAGAACTTCTATGATTTAAACATGAATTGTAGAAAAAATAACTGGAAGGTGTTGCTTTGGTTTGCAGGTTTTACTAGAATGGGCTGCAGTCCTTCCTGCAATTTCATCTCACCATAGTGATGTAATGTATTACAATTATGTGAAAAATCCTGGTAGCTAGTGATATTGTTAATCTTGAAATTCTTATCAGTTTCATATCTACTCCTTATTTCATGACTTTCACTAATATTTGGTTCTAGGTGCAGTGGTTCATTACAATTGTACTAGCCTCATTGTTCACTTTGGTTTCAGTTGCAGAACTACATTTCAGGCAAAATGTATTAGTTATGCTTACAAGAATGTATTATACGTACATTAGCAATGGTTTACTAAGTTAATGAACTGTGGAGACAAAGAGTCATTGCAGTCAAGTTGTAGAGTTGCTCCACTTCCTTGCATTCAAGTTTTGTGTACTGCACAAGTTGCTTTGGTAGCGCTCATTTATTTTTCTTGGACTTCCTTTTATTCAGGTTTTTGTCTGCTAATTTCCTTAGATGTTTGACAGTGCCAGTCCTTTACTTTTCATTTTTGTATCAAAATCTTTTTGATTTTTATCAGAAAAGTCTTTTGATTTTTATCTCTTGATCTTTTCTATCAGAGTCTACAGAGAGGCGGGTATCATGAAAGAAGGGGAGGGGCAGAATGGATGTTGAAGATTAATGGCCATGCATTAGTACTGTTGCTATTATTGTCACCAGAACTTTGGTGTCTCAAACCCTAAATACTCTAATTCCCAGATGGATTAAGTTAAATTGACATACAATGAGTCTTGCTTTTTTATCTATTTTAAAGAAGCATATGTGTCTTTTCACTAAAATTTGTCTGCTTAAAAATATTCTGTTCCTCCTTTTTCTTCCCCTTCAGGCCTAACTCCACCTACGACCCCTCCTCATAAAGCCAACCAGGATAATCCTTTCAGGACTTCACCTAAGCCGAAGTCATCATGCAAGACTGTTGCACCACCTTCAAAAAAGCCCCGTTATAGTGAGTCTTCCGGTTCTCAAGGAAACAACCCAGTCAAGAAGGGTCCAGAACAGACTGAGCTGTATGCACAGCTTAGCAAGACTACAGTACTGTCCAGTGGACATGAGGAGAGAAAGACAAAACGGCCCAGTTTGCGGCTGTTTGGTGACCATGACTACTGTCAATCTGTGAATTCAAAGTCGGAAATACACATTAAAATATCCCAGGAACTTCAGGACTCCAGACAACTAGAATTTAAGGATTCTTCACCTGGGTGGCAGTGTCAGATTTGTTCTTCTTTAGAACAAGACCAGTATTTCAAGAAAGAGACTTTACAGACAAGTAAGCAGGGATCCCAAGGTAATAACAGAAAACAGCTCCAAGACCAAGAAATTCGGGCTGAACTGAATAAGCATTTTGGTCACCCCAGCCAAGCTGTTTTTGATGAAGAAGCAGATAAGACCGGTGAACTAAGGGACAGTGATTACAGTAATGAACAATTTTCCAAACTACCTATGTTTATAAATTCAGGACTAGCAATGGATGGTCTCTTTGATGACAGTGAAGATGAAAGTGATAAACTATGCTACCCTTGGGATGGGACACAAGCCTATTCATTATTTGACGTATCGCCTTCTTGCTCTTCTTTTAACTCTCCATGCAGAGATTCAGTATCTCCACCCAAATCCTTATTTTCTCAAAGATCCCAAAGGACACGCTCTAGATCAAGGTCCTTTCCTCAACGCAGGTCTTGTTCCCGTTCTCCATATTCCCGATCGAGATCAAGGTCACCCTGTAGTAGATCCTCTTCAAGGTACAGTGAGCAATTTCATACATCAGCATTGTTGGTAATAAGAAGGAAAACAACAAAAACACAGATTGACTTGAAGGAAATAAATAATTAAAAAAAAAAAACAGAAAACTTGATCCAGTGCAACTGTTTTTATTGCCTCGATCTGATTAGCTCTGAAGGCTACAGGATTGCTGCGGAAACACTCGTTGCCATTATCCTTTAAATTTGCCAAGTTTACACTTTCTGAGTGGAGCCAGTCAGGTCAGAGGCAGAGCAATTGGAGAGATATACACAACTAACCTTTCCCATTATCTGCAAGCTGCCCGGTGCCAATCTAGCTGCAGTCCCTATCAGATGAAGTTGACAGTGGCTGACTCTCTGCTCTCTGTTAGCCTCAATAAGAAACATTATAGGAGGGGGGCAAAATCACTTGAGGCCCCTTAGTTGACTAGGAGATCGCAAACTGTCAATGGAAAATTTCACTGGTAGCTTAGAAGAAATTGTAAGGTCAGGTAAGAGGTAGCTCAGGAGAAAATGGTGTCAATACATTCAAAGTGAATGACAGAGGTGAATGGTTTGGTTTTTTTTTTTTTTTCTTTCCTGCAGATCTTGCCACTGTTATGAGTCCAGCCACTGTAGACACCAAGCACACCGAAGTTCTCCCTCACGTGCAAGGTCGCGATCCAGATCACCGTACAGTCGCAGACCCAGGTAGTGCATTTTGTGTGCATTTAGTGTGCTAGTTCTGAAGAGATAAATAAAGCATTCCAGAAACTGTATTACTAAATTTACATTAAGAAATGCAGGTGCTTGATTTAATGACTAAGTTATGTTTCCTAGATATGACAGCTATGAGGAATATCAGCATGAAAGGCTGAAGAGGGAAGAATACCGCAAAGAGTATGAAAAACGGGAATCTGAAAGGGCCAAACAAAGGGAGAGACAGAGGCAGAAAGCAATTGTAAGCACTGTGAAGATAACTTTCATTTTGAAATAGGTTTCTGTTTCTTTTGGTAGATTTCTAAAACTCGAACTGAGATTCTGTTTTCTTTCTTCTTTGTAATGGAACAAACAAAATGCAAAAATCTGTTTATGTGCATTTCTTTGTATTTAGAATTTTAGGCAAATATGTGTTTTCATAACAATTTGTGTTTTGATTGTATAGCACTAATTTTTTCAGGTTCTTTAAATTGTGACTCTCCAGGTCAGTCAACAGAAAGAAAAAAAAAAAAGAAAAAAAAAAAAAGATTTTCTAGGAAAAGGCTTCATCCCAGACAGCAAAGAATTAAAAGCGACCCAGTCTATTCCTTAAAGTGATCTATCAGTGAACCCACAGTTTCTACTGCATGTCACCTACAGGATGCCAGTAGTCAAGTCTAGTTTCAGTATTTCTTTTCCTCTGCAGAAACAATGTAAGAAGCCAATCAGCTTACATACTGGTCACTGGATGTTTCTAGTAGCTGTAATTATCTATACAGAGGGTACAGAATTTAAAATTGACATCCACAGGCATGTCTTTTATTGTTTCTTTCTTGTCTATGACACAGTTTATTTTTAAGGTATTTTTAAGATTTTTTAGCAAACTAGTCTGAAGACATGATGCAATTTAAAAATGTCATTTCATGCTGCCCCTTTCACAATGAACATGTGTTACTTGATTATTTTGTTCATCCGACTAAAGTATCTGCAGCAAAGGAAATACCCATGAGGTGATCAGCAACTCCCTTGCCTGTAGTAGCTGCAGGACAGAAAAATGGCTCTTAAATGGATGTGTGGATTTTGCCCCCTTCTAGTTCCCCTGCATGATGGTTTTGATAAATTGGGAGTTGCTGTAATTCTGGACTACAGTTATGATTGTTAAGCCCATCTAGTGGGCTCCCCTTACTGCTGCTCTGCACAAACTGGTGTATACTGGGATGCTTACCTTCATTTCCACATTTTCCCTTAATGTTCTCTCCAAAGCTCACCAAAATGAGTAGATCTCTTTCCAATATGTTTAGTGACCTTTGTAGTAAAAAAACTGCTACAGACTCTTGGGCATTTCTCCAAATACTTACACCCTCAAAACTACATGTATGAAGATCAGCAGAGCCTGGCATAGTCTGTGGCAATGAGAAATTCTGTAAGGGAATATGCATCTTTAGTTTATGGATTTCATCTCTGTTGCTACTGTTCTTAGTGAGCTTGATAAATCATTTTGCTTTTCTCTGCAACAGGTGACCTGTGTACATAATGTAGGTGATACATAAATTTTGTAAAACATGAGATTCAGAGCTATAGCATGTTCTGATCTGAAACTCAGGGAAGCTGTCAATGGTTTATGGGCAGGTCAGCACAGTTCAGTGACTAATGGGGCGGGGGGACTGATGGGACCACACCCCAGGAAAGGGGGAAATGGAAAGGGGAAAAGGGTAGGGAGATGGGCCTAAAAACAAAACAGCAACAATGATCTGAGGAGAAACAAACTAATTTACTAAATATGATAGTGGAATGTAAGGTAAAAATACAATATAATTGGAATTGAGGCTAAGAAATCAAAAAAAAATGAGAGTGTGTCCAAAAACTGATGGCCTTACTCTAATGCTGAAGGCGAAATGGCTAGGGAGCACACACACTGCAGAGATGAGCAGAAAGGAAAAAGGGACCTCTCGTGACTTGCAAACAGTTTTATCTTTCCCTCAGAATGGAAAACAGAAACACAAAATCCTCTGGGGCATGTAGTTCTTCTTCTCTTCTGAGAACCAGGTACCCAGAAATATCAACAATCCATGGAACTGGAGTATTAATTCTGTTGCTGTTTTCTTTCTTATTAATAATTAATTTAATTCTCAGTGCACTACATAATGTTATGATGTGGAATACTGATAACAAAAATCATAAAATCACAGTAGAAGGCAATGGAAGGATTTTGCATGGCTTCAGAATGGACTATATTTAAGTCAACTGTTTGGTTTTTTTCTTGCTTCCATCTGTTTAGAGATAACACTGACTTCTGGCAGTCGTAACTTAAACTGGCTGTTCTTTCTTAGATCTAACATAAATTAGAGTTTTAAATAGACCTCTGTCATGAATGTATCTTGCTACTTCTCAATTACTGTATCTTATTGGTATAAAAACCTGAATCCTACTGAGAAGATAGGAAATTTGATTTAGTTTAAAACGAGGAAATGTTTGGCTACTAACTAATGAAGGGAAAAGGAGGAAAGAGAAGGTCCTTGAAAAGCTCTAGATGTGCTGCGCCATCATTTCCTCCAAGTTAAGAATTTTAGTCTTTCCTAATTCAAGGCTGAATTTATTTTCTCTTCTAAAGTGAGCATTGTCATGTTAATTAACTTCATTAATGAAACTGTGTATAAACATAAATAAATTAGACCTGAAATGATGTGGTGAGATGACAAATCATATATTTATAAAATATCAATAAATAGAACATGGCAAAAATTTTAAATGCAGTCATCCAAGAGCTGCAGGAAATGTAGCTGAAGTCATATTAACTCCTCTCTCCAAAGTCTACCAGCCCTTTCACTTTAAAAATCTGTGTTGAATCATGCCAATTTATTCCCTGTGCGAATCAGTGGGGAATAGGAGACAGCATAGAAAGGGAAGCCTTGATCCCACGAAGTCAGTGATGAGGTGTGTATTAACTGAACAAAGGTGCTATTTTTCGTCCAGCATTCTCTATTCCCTTTCTTACTCCTTTTGGCTTATGAGTCTCTCATGTATCACTCCTTTCTTTCCTAAGGGGCCCAACTCATTTATTGTTCAGTCATAAGAATCCTTCCGTCTTTCCTTGAACTCTTTCTGTAAATTCCATAAGTTTAGATTTCCATAAATTCTGCATTGGAGTCTTTTTTCCTTTCTTTCCATCTCATCCTCATGCTGCAAGATCTGGCTCAAGACAACATGCCTGCTAATACTTTTAAAAGAGCAGCTCAAAGATTGAGCAGTACTAGGGCCCCAGGTGCTGGCTACTCAGGGAAGGTGACTTTCCTTCATGAAAAGCAGTGTGCTGAGATCTCAGGGCGCTGGCTGTAGAAAAGATGCACAGAGGAAAGGGAGCAGAAAGCATGACTGAACAAAAAGCCATCAGGTCTTACTGGTTCAATATCTGGAATTACTCTCAATGTGACAACAAGAGTGTGAAACTCAGGAAAAAGAGATGAGAAAAAAATAGGTATGTTTTAATCTGTCAAAACCATATGTGTAGCAGTGCCCTCTGATTGTGCAAGCAGCTTGTATTTTGGCAGATGCGAAGATATATTGGCAGATTGCTGACGAGGCTTGTTTTAGAAGCCTGTGCTCATGCTACATGGCAAAGGTATATTTAAATGGCTACATGGTCAGTCTGCATGCAGCATATTGGCTGCAGTACCTTCAGATCAACTGAAAGCCTGAGCTGGCATTTCGATGTCTGGATTCCTAGCTAGATTTACAGCTATATTCAGGTGGCTTAACTTCAAAAAGTTCTGTGTTATTTTTCTCTTTGCTTCTTCTCTGTCTTCCCTTCTCCAGTGACTGGAGGTTCAGTGTCTTTTTCATGGAGTGGGGTCTTTATTTTGAGCAGTCTCACACAGAAAATATAGACTGCCGAGCCCACAAGTCATTTTTCAGTTAAAAAGTCAGGATATTTTTGTCATTCATTTATTTATTTGTATTCTTGGTTTTGATGCCTTTTTAATGGAATAAATTTTAGCAGAGTATAGCTTGATCTTGATGTCACTTGTCCACAATTCATTTTAGAATGGGTCCTCATTGAACAGAAGGCCAGTCTGCCACCAAGACTCACTTAATAGTGCTCTCCAGACCATAGCAGAGACACATTAATTCATCATGAAGCTCCAGGAACAACTGCAGGACAGAACAGGCTACTCAGAGCTTTCTAGAAATTACAATCTAACCCCCAGCCAGGGCAGATTGCTCTGTTTTGCCAAGAAGACTGAAGACTGTTTTTTTCTTGTTGTACACCCCAGGCATTTCTTAGGCATGCAGGCTTTTCCTGCAGCAGCTTATTAGACCAAGTGGCACATACTTTTCAGGGCATGGCTTCTACCTCAGTAGAAAATTATTATATATACTTTCATATATAAGTGCTGACAGCCTGTATGAGACAAGTCCCTGTCCCAGAGAGCTTACAGGTACAAGAAGATAAATGCACTGTGAGGCCACTGCAGCAGAAAAGAAACACATGGTTTCAAAGAAAATAAATTTCTCTACAACAGGAAGGCAGGAGAAAGGTGGTTTCCTAAATGAATGCTTGGGTTCTTTGAAGTTTGAAACCAGACACAGCCCATAATGCAGTAAATTCCCACAAATGAAGGAGCAAATGCATGTTGGTTGTTTAGTTTGGACTTTTTTTTGTGGTTGCTCATCTTGGTGGGTCTGATCCCAGGCATTCTACTTTTTCTGTACAACTTACTGAAAATATTTCAAACGGATTGTCTAAAATCTTGAGTTTTATTGATCCATCACTGTGTTTTCAGCAGAACTTTTTCAGTCCTCAGCCACAAACAAGACCTGCGAATATTGTGCAATGTTCTTTTTTCTTCTTCACTTCTTGTGAGTCTTCCTTTTGCCATTCATACATGTTTACTGGTCATACTTAGTCTACAAGTCTTCTTTGATACAGAATCTAGAGCACTGTTTCTTACTATTATTATGATGTCTGAATCTTACGTTTTACTGGTTCTTGCATTCATAGCATTTCTATTTTTCAGACTCTGCCCAACCACTCTCATTGCTTTTTCAAAATGTTTTCTGGCCTTCAGTTCTAAGGATGAAGATCAAGTCACAAAATACTGGGCACGTAAGGTGTTACAGAAATGGGCTTGTACCCAGCCAGCCACTTGTGCTGCAGGAAGCAGCAGAGCTTTGATAAGCTTAGAATCATGGAATCAGTAAGGCTGGAAAAGACCACTGAGATCATCTAGTCCATCTGTCAACCCATCATCACCTTGCTCACTAAAACATGTCCCTCAGTGCCATGCTTATCCTTTTCTTGAAAACCTCCAGGCTCAATGACTTCATCACCTCCCTGGGCAGCCTTTCCAATACCTCACCATTGTTTCTGAGAAGAAGTTTTTTGTAATATCCAACCCAAATCTCCCCTGACACAACTTAAGGTCATTACTTCTTGTCCTGTCACTGTTCAGCTGGGAGGTCAACCCCCACTTCAGTACAACCTCCTTTCAGGTAGTTGTAGAGATTGATATGGTCTCCCCTGAGCCTCCTCTTTTCCAGACTAAACAATCCCAGTTCCCTCAGCCACTCCTCACAAGACTTGTGCTCCAGAGGCCTCACCATATTTAATACCCTTCTCTAGACACGCTCCAGGGCCTCAATGTCTTTCTTGTAGTGAAGGGCCCAAAACTGAACACAGCGTCAAGGTTCGACCTCACCATTGCAGAGTACAGAGGGTCAATCACCTCCCTGGACCTGCTGGCTACACTGTTTCTAGTACAAGCCAGGATGCCATTGGCCTTCTTGGCCACCGGAGCACACTGCTGGCTCGTGTTCAGCTAACAGCCCCAGATCCTTTTCTCCATGCTGCTTGTGGTAGACCTCAACTTTATAATTTCTTCTTTTTTTTCGTCTCATCTTCACACAGAGCATAGTTGGGCTCTTGGAGAACTAGTTATGTACCACAGATGTGCAGACAAAAAGTGGTAGGGGAAATGAAGACAGCAGCACCCCAGGGTGCAGTAAGGAGAGGCAGGCAAAGAAAACAAATGTTAAGTAAAGAAGCCAGGTACAATAAACATGTGAAAACTAATACGCCTGGGATTTAATCAAATTAAAGGTTAAGAATGAGGAAGGGGAAACAAAGTGAATTTTGTAGACAGCCTTTGCAAGACAAAAAGACCTTTAACATCAGAGATGTTTTTGGAGATGAGTGATAGTTTTATTGACACTTAAATTTGTGAAGGTATCCTGGTCCTGGTTTCTCCAGGCATGCTAATGTTCTAGCATTTTAATTTGATACTTGAAATAGTGATTTTCAGTCTAAGATTCTCTACCACATTTGCCTCTTCAATTGTTCTTACTGCCAGGAGGAAAGAGCAAGATTAAGAAGAAAGAAATTTAGACAAAGAAGACAGACATATTGGGCTTGAGGAAGCTGTCTGGGCTCTTTTTTTTTCTCTTATTTACTTGGTAAAACAATGAGCTATGTATATTTAAAAGCCAGGGGAGATTCAGGTTGGATATTAGGAAAAACTTGAGTGGTCTGGCACTGGAACAGGCTGCCCAGGGGAGGTGGTCACCATCCCTGGATGCATTCAAGAAATGTGTAAATGTGGTACTCAGAAACATGGCTTGGTAGGCAAAATTGGTGGCAAGTGGACAGTTGAATTAGATGAACTTATAAGTCTTTTCCAACCTTAATGATTCTATGATTCTGTGATTGTAAATCATCTGCATTTCTGGGAGGGAAATATGAACACAATTGTCTGGAGTTTCCTTCAGGTTCATCTTCCCCCATTAAGTTGAAAACAAAAGCTTTTTTCCCCTAGTTCTCTAAATTTCCAAGGCATATATCATCTGCTCTTACAAGTGCAGTAAAAAGCATACTTAATATGCACATATAGACTTAAGCATGTAACATATTATAAAATAAGGATCTTTAACATTTAGGGGTATGTTATAATCTTGTTAGGTTTGTATAATTCTTATTGTTAATGGGAGTAAAATGCAGGTGTCTTTTTAAATACAAATATTTCTTTCATAACCACTTTAAATAAGCCAATGCTAAACAAGATAAAGACAGTTCTGTATGAATCCTGTGTTCCCCAGTACCTCATACCATCATGGCATTCTGCTTAAAAAAAATACTTGAATGAACATCTCCTCATGTACACACTAAAGGACATATGGTGCATTCCAGCTTTAAATTTGAATTTCCTTAATTTTGCAAGTTTAACTTATTCCCTTAATGATAGTTTAACAGGCGTTTTTTAGTTGTTCGGTTTTGTTTTATTACAGTTGTCTTAAAGGGATATTAGATATATAAAAGTTATTAGAAGGATAGAGGAAGTAAAAATTGCACAGGCATGCACACAGACTTATGGGAGAGCATGCAGTAGTTACTTCCATCACTGCAATATAACAATCTCCGTGTCAGGGAGTGAAACATTATGTTTTTTCAGTCAAGATGTATTATCTCAGCTAAAGTATATTAGGCAGTCTGCTATGTTATGTTCTGCTCCATCTGGTCAGTCATTTAGGTTCAATAGCAAGTATCAATGGAATTGTTTCTTATCAAGTGTTTCAATGCAGTTAAATCCTTGATTTGGTAAAACAGTCTGAAAAAGTAATTACTGTGCATATGCAGATTTTCTTCTTTTTGAAGTTTATAGCACCCAGCCATACTGAAAGGAAGCAGAATGAGAATGGAGGAAATGGAAGAAATGCAGATTTCTGTTTCTTGCTGTCTATATTTCCTAGTTCATAGAAAGTCTACCCAGACTCCTCCAGGAGAGTAGGAGTAAAAAACAGCAGCTGCCTGTAAAGTAACCCTTCTTCATAAATGTATGGCCATCCATGAGCATGCTTACCCTTCTTTTAGCTGTGCTAACTTCTTTAAGCTTTATGCCTACAACAAAGAGCAAGAACAGCTTTTAAATGGTGAACTTTAGAGGGTGTAACATTTAAAAATGAAAGCGTCTGTCCCAGCAGGGCAATAGAGGACTGTTAATCCTATCACTTTGGTTCCTTGGATAATCAATAGAAGCAGTAGTTTCAGGCATTTAAATGAGACAGTTACCTGATCTCTTTGAGTAAGGAGAGTATATACATACTTTGGAGGAGCAGTCAGGGTCTCCACTTGGCCAACCAGGGCTACAAAAGATCCGGAAAGCTGGAAAAGCACGGAAAGCACTTTTTGTGCTATACCTTAGTGAGTAGGGCTTTTGTCCAAGAAGTGAGAGTAGTGAATCTGTTCTCTGGTGCTCTGGACTCATATCTTTAGTTTCTCTGGAGCATAGATGAACTGGGTTTGGGCCCCTGAGATTTGTGAGGCCAGGAAAAGTGTAAGTAAAAATAGTTGACTCGGTATGCTAGTAAGAAGTGTCTTCTGTTGGGAGGCAGGTATATTTGCTTCAACTTCCAGCTGCAGGAATTGTTCATTTGTTTCGCATTAAACAACTTCTGGGAGCAGTGTGCTGTCCTGGGAACAGGGAACCACGATTTCACATACTCATATGAAGGGGAGTTCTGATGGTCCCTTTATCTCAGATGAGTGCTCAAGCAAGTAAAGAAGCGGTATCAGGATAATTTCTGTTTCCACAAGCACTGTGGTCTGATCTCAGTCCTACTGTCTTATGTGTGCCAATTAGCTGTGGTCCAGAAATGACTGGTGCTGTATGCCTGTCTTGGGACTCTTAGAAAACATACATTTTGTGCTGTAGTTGAACTGTGACACTGTAAGCTACCTTACTCTTCAAGCTAGGATGTTTCTGAGCAGGAATGCAAATTTGTATTTAGGTCCCTAGAGCCTTCAGCGTTGCACAGTTGAGGTGCCATTAGCCTTTAGGCACCTCCAGGTTAAGATAGTCAAGAATTCTCAGCAGTCAGTATAGCTCCTTTGGAATTCACCACCTACATTCTATGCAAGTCTCAGGTGCCCAAGTTGATGGTTTAAACTGACATTGCTCCACTGACTGACAGATTTACACTAGCTAAGAATTTGATGGAGGTACAATTTATGGGACAGACACGTGGGTGTGTGCAGGGGATGAGCAAGAGGCCAATAGTTCTCCAGGACAAAGGCAGTCAGAGCATTGAGGCTATCTGAAGCTACTGCTTCTTTGCTCTGATTATTCTAAGGTCAGTGGTTTGAAGATCTCTTTTTCACTTTTTTTTTTTTTTTTGGTTGCAACTCACTGAATGACTTTGTCACCAGTAAGGTGCTAATCCAAGTATTCTTGAAGTGACTCTTGACAGGTTTTCCCTATCTTTCTGTCATTCTCCTGAGCATTTTCACTCAGAAAGGAACTATATGACCATGACTCGATTATTTTTAAAGTGTCTTATTTAGTTTGCTCCAAGTGTCAAAGGAAACTGCAAATGACCCCCTAATCTGTAAAATCAGGAAGTTCTGTCATGTTCTTCTTCCTAACAAACCCAAAGGTAGTGGTGACCAGAGGAAATATTTTATTCTTCTTTCTTCCATCCATTTATTTATTTTAATATTTATTTTAATAAAACTCATTTTCTGGCCTCCTCACAGTCTTCCCTCTGTTTAAGGTATAGATTATGATGGAACTGCTGATTGCAGAATGAGTCAGCTAATGAGTCATCTGAGTTTATAATGTTATGTCTATAATCTATTTTGTTATGTTTATGATACACTTACACACTTGCTGCATTATTTTATGCTCTTCACAACTTAGTTCCCAGTGTTGTATAGCTAATAAGAGAAAGGGGATCCCTGGTCCTGGATAATTTGTAGTCTTAAAGGGTGAGTCATGGGAAGGTGGAAAGGAAAAAGATGCAATAAGATACAGAGGGAGTGGTCTGTCATTTTATAGCAGAACAGTGACAGCACTCAATGAAACCTTCTGGCAGAAAATCACCCCAAAAATCTGGCATCATTTAAATACCTGAAAGGCTTTCTAGGAGAGAATATTTCAATCAGTAGCTGAATGTAGTAGATCTTCCACAAGTGACTATTAGTATAATTATGCATCCTCTGCATATCTGTGTGAATGTATTTGTAAGCATATATGTGTAGATTCCTCTGTACTGCACATTTGATAAAAACTTGTCCTGCTCTTTCTTAACAGGAAGAGCGTCGCGTGATTTACGTGGGTAAAATCAGACCTGACACAACCCGAAAAGAACTGAGGGACCGGTTTGAAGTTTTTGGTGAAATAGAGGAGTGCACAGTAAATTTGCGGGATGATGGGTAAGAACTTCTGAAATTAGCTCTTGTTTGAGAGTTGCCATATGTAAGAAATTATGGCAGTAAGATTACTGGTATGGGAGTTACCAGTGTAAGTACTGTTACAGATGACATGCTGAGTTCAAAACCATATTTATTTTCTTTCATCTTTATTTATTAATCTTGCTGGTTGAGATTTCCTGTCCCAGAAGTAAGTATTTATTTAGCTGCATGACAGGACGATCATGCCGATAAATGGATGCTGTACTTCTGGCATTTCCACTGCTGGATCTCCTGCAAGTTCTTGCTTTCAGGAAGGGGTTACACAAATATGTGTTAACTCTTTTTAGTTTTTTTTTTTTCACGACTGTCTTTTTTAATTACAGAGACAGCTATGGTTTCATCACCTACCGCTATACTTGTGATGCCTTTGCTGCTCTTGAAAATGGATACACTTTACGCAGGTCAAATGAACCTGACTTTGAGCTGTACTTTTGTGGACGCAAGCAGTTTTGCAAGTCTAACTATGCAGACCTAGGTAGGTATCTTGCTCTCTGTGAATTAAAGTACATAACTGGAACCATGTTGTAACTCAGAAGAATTTAGTCTGCTTGTTTTTTGTGACCTGCTTCTGTTACTTGAATGGTCGGTGTGAAGGATTTAAAGAAGGTGCTTTTTCACTTGCACGTTAAAGTCTACTAATCAGAGCTGTACACTGTATTCACTTTTTCAGATATTTCAGACTGAAAATTCTTTTAAAGCCCATTTCCATCATTAATAAAACAAATGCCTAGTATTCAATAGTACATTGCCATACTGAAATGATAGCACTCCAAAAACTTGCTCTTTACTGTTCATTGGTGTGCTCCTTTTCTCTAACACGTGATTTGTTTATATGACCCTAAACAAAGAACAATGTAGAAGCCTCATCCTCTCATCTTCCCCCCAGATTTGCAGTAATCTTATTTTGCTGTGAGTTGTGTGGGAGAACTTGTCAGAAATACTCCTTAAATGCGATTTGTAGTTTCTTAGGTTTGAAAGCTAGAGGGACTCCTGACCAAATCTGACCTGTACTATAGCAAAGGGCACAGATCTCAGCTGGTGGTTTTCACGCTGTCCATCAGCATCTATGTGTGAATGTGTTTCCCTGCAAGGACTTCCACTCATGATGTGAGAGGCTCTAGCCAGTGGAAAGAACGGCACATCTCTTGGTGTTGCTGTCCCATTGGTGAGTGACAGTGAGAGCAAAATGATAATGCACCTGGATCTTAGTTCTGTTCTGGCATAAATGTAGGGTTCTGCCCTATGCTGTGGGTCAGAGTATGATGCTTCCCTTTTCAAGGATGTTTGGAAGTGTTAAAACTCTAAAGGAGGGGTACTCTAAAAATTCCTCTAAAGGAGGAGTACTGATGTACACGCATAAAGTGACCATGCAGACTTCCCAAACATCCTTTTAATATTGTATTATAATCTCACCTCTTATTTAATTACCTTTGAAAGTATTCATCAAATGTTAAAGCTTTCCTGATGCCTGTATAAATAGTCTAATGGTACGGGAGATGCTCTTTTCTGAATAAAATAGCAAGGGACAGTTTGCTGTTGAATCTATATTAATCAGATACCATGGTTTTGTGTTTGTTTTTTTTTTATGAATAAATGACCACAATCATTAAAATCCCTGCATAACCCTGTAACACAGTGCTAATGAAATCTTGTATCTACTGCCCTTGGCTTTGTACAATGCAGAAAGTGAATACAAATATATTTTCACTAACCAATTGATGTATTTTCAGAATTAATGATAAAGACGATACACATTGTTCATAATGAATATGCTATAATTCACTTCAGTGGCTATTCAGATAATATAAAGCTAAGAAAAGGCAATTGACTGCTGGAGAGATATAAGGTAATGTTGAATATGTAAAAAGTAGCCAGGCATTTGTTGAAATGTAGGCTGATAAAAACAATATAAACGTTATAAACAGATTGAAGTCTTAACTTGATTTAACTTATCTTTGGTAGTGGAAGTGAAGGTCTCCTGTGTCTCAGAAAATCTAAGGTTTGTAATAAGTTGTCTAAAGGGACCCTTCCTGGAACTCGCTGGGAGTATTTCCTGGCACATCTTACCAGAGTGAGTGGGATTCCCAGAGTATCTCTAAGCAGAATATTTTCACTTTGTCCCGTTGACAGCTTGAGGTTCTCTACTTCAGACTGCATTCTCTGTATTTCAGTGTATCTGATATTGCTACACAGGCAGGATGAGCTTTAAAATTCATGAGCTAGTACAAGGACAGGAAGAATTAATCAGCTTTGGGTTGAGTATAGGAGAAAGAAAACACTTGAAAATAGTAGACAGAAGTTTAACACTTCTCCTCTGTGAGAAGATATTGTCTTAACAGGACTTGTAATGAACATTTAATTCACAGTATGTCTTATAGAGGTAAATGGGGAGTTCTGATTAATTCAGCAGAAGAAATGGCAAGAAAACGGTACTCTCTGTGACATAGGAACCAGGGAGAGCCAGTGCTGAACAGGGATGACTCCAAAAGGAAATACAATTCTTGCAGTCGAGTCAGTAATTGCTGCAGAAGAACTGTATGGCCACAAAGCGATCCCCCCTTTGCTCTAGGAACAGAATGATGTCCTGGCAACTATTAGCACTGGAGCAGGTATTACATATCCCACCTAAAACACATATTCTGCAGATGCTGAACTGCTGTTCTTGCTGTTACACTTATGTTACAAAGACCTGAGGATGCTACCTGAGATTGCTTGTACAGCAGCGTGGAGACTCTGTCCTGAGTTGCTCATGCTCTGAACAAGCAAACCAAAACAGTCAGCACAGAAAATAAGAGAGATTGAAGGAGGTGTGGTGTGGTGCATCAGGTCTTGCGGCAGGTCAGCCCATGGCTGTGTCTCCTGCATGCCTCTCTGCAAGCTGTGGTGGCTTTCAGCACAGTCAGCTGCTATCACCTATCTCAGGAGAAGTAAGTTTGGGATATTAGACCATACAAAGCACAGCTGCAGAACCGTAATGCATTTTTTGGTAAAACACCTGTGATGGTTACCTGGACTAGATGTGAACCAGATGACCGCGAGACATCCCTTCCAACCTCTGCCATTCTGTGATACTGAGTCATAGAGTGACGGTGCTCAGTCTTTGGAGAAGCTCTTTGAAGTTTACCGGTTCAGTATATACACATTCATTATATAGTTTACTCATTCTATTGAGGACATACTATGCATTTTTTCAAGTCTTGCTCTTATCAGAAAGCTCCATCCATGCCAAGTGGATGGGTGATTTTTGTAGTGTTTGTTCATACTGCTGTACAAAGAAAAAGATGGACACAATCGCCAGTGCCTTGTGCCTGTTTACTGAACTTGCATCTCTTTGGGTTTCAGATTCAAACTCAGATGATTTTGATCCTGCTTCCACTAAAAGCAAGTATGACTCCATGGATTTTGATAGTTTACTTAAAGAGGCACAGCGGAGCCTGCGCAGGTAACATGTATCACACCCAAGGAAAACGGAGGGATGGCGAATACCTCACGGACATCACGTCCTTCAATAATGGACAATTAAAAGTCATACTTAGGAATTTCTCCTACTTTACACTCTCTGTTCAAAACCATGGTTTACATGAACACAGCTGCTCGAGGAGGGAGGAGGCAGAATGGCTTTCCAGCAAGCACACGCGTGTCCATGGGTGTCAGCTTTGCTTTCGCGGGTGACCGGTGGCGGGGCAGCCTGCGGTCCTCTCGCGACCCAGGGCAAACCACATGTCATGGCAGCAGTTCCACAGAGATACACTTACAACGTAGAACTTCAAAATGTGTACATAGTGCATTTTAACAAAAAGAAAACAAAAGCAAAGCGAAAAAAGAACAAATTTGCGAACTATGGCTGCTGATGTCTGGGAATCAGACACTGCATTTTTTTTTTAAATGAAGCTTCTTCTCACAACACAGTGATAAATGACAATCCAGAAGAAACCGCAGGACCCACAAGCCTGCAATGTGTTTTAGTTTTAAGATCTTTCTTTTTTTTCTTTTCTTTTCTTTTTTTTTTTTTCCTTGCAGAAGAGAAAATGAAAGGCTAAAGCTTCCCTAACATTTTGAAGTTTCGTCTTTTAATTCTGACACCCATGTAAATGTCTACAACGTTGATCTTCCACAGCAAAGTTTTCAAAGCCGTGTTAATGGTCAAATGTGCAGCTTGTTCAGCGATTTATTCTAATGAGCGGACGTGGTGTTACATTATTAATGAGAGTTGGATATAACTATCTGGGTGTGAGCGCAGATAGTTTATTTGCTACGTTCTCTAAAGTAGTTGAGTATTTACAGATGTTAAATGGAGTATTTTTATTTATGTACATACTGTATGACAATGTTCTTTTTTGTTACAGCTATGCACTGTAAATGCAGCCTTCTTTTCAAAAACTGCTGAATTTTTCTTAATCAAGAATACTCAAATGTAATTATATGAGGTGAAACAATTATTGTACACTAACATATGTAGAAAGCTGAACTTATGCTTATATATATTTGATTGTAAAAAAAAAAAAAGAGAAAAGCGTGTGGGTGAGGACGTGTGAGTGTGCGTGTGTCTGACTGCAAAAACGCTTTACACACATTCATCCCTTCCTTGGTGAGCTTATGTAAGAATTTTGTCAACGATGATCCTAGCCCAAAAGGTGTTAACCACTTCTGCAGTATTTTTCCACATTTTTCTCATTGCTTGGTTTTTTTTTGCAGTTTTATACACTGAATTTGTTAGGGGAATGAAATTTTCTCATCTAAATTTTTCTAGGAGATACCATAATTTTATGTAAGGTCTCTCAAATGGGTAATCATTAAGAAATGTTTTTATTTTATGTATCAACAGTAGTTTTGGAACTAGAGATCAGAAATCTTTTTAAAATGCTATTTTGTTTTAATTTTTGTGATTTTAATTTGATAAAAATACGCTGAGGTACTCAGTACAGTATGATTTTTACAGTAATTCTGTGTCTAAACACTGTTCTCGAAGCCAGTAATCTTTTCATTGACAGAGTTTAATGATGGTATTTATCTATATTTTTTACAGTTATGCATCCTGTATAAATACTGATCCTTCATTCCTTTGTTTACTAAAGAGACATATTTATCAGTTATGATTATCCTATTTATTATAAATTATGAGATGACTAAAATAAGAAAAAGGCCAGTGGAAATTTTATACCTAGGATGCATGATGATTGTCAGTTTGGAGTAAGTGCTTCGTCTGAAAATTCAGCTTTTGCAGAAGCAGTGGTTTTTGTTGTTTTTTTTTTTCTCTTTTTTTTTTACTATGCACTAGCATGGCCTCAGATGTGCCCATGACATTGTTGCTGATGACATTGCTTCTGCTAAATTAAATAGAAACTTCAGGAAAGTGAAAAGAAAAAAGAACAAAAACACAACCGTTAGCGACTACTATTCTGAGCATCAGAATTTCATCTGATCTTGGAGTCTCTAGACTGAATCAGCAAAGTTTGGAATTTGCTTGCAAATGTATAGATTTGGTATTCTATTACTGTTTGGCATTCATGACTCCTCTTAAAGGTATGGCACACCTAACTATTTAATCTCCTTTCCCACTCCCAATCTTAGAAAACTGATTCCACCCCATGCCAGTGCAGTTGATTTTGATGGCTGCATTCATTTTATCACCAGCATATTGTGTTCTGAGAGATTCCACTGTCTGTCCTGTTGGATGCTTGCTTGATTTTTCGGCTTCTTATTTCTCAGTAGATAGATAGCAATAAAAATAAAAAAGAAAAAGGAAAAAAAAAAGAACTTTTTCAGAGGTTCTGTGTTACAACCGTAACATTCTTTAATCTGCATAATTCTCGTTGTTGCTCTGTAGGTTAAAAATGCAGGTATTTTAACTTTGTGTGAATGCCAAACTAAAAGTTTACAGTTTTCCTTTCTGGATTTTGAGTATCTTCTGTTGTAAAGAAAAATATTAAAAGCAATAAATTATTTTTAAGAAATCAATATTTAGTAGATTATATTATGTGTTCAAGGACCAGATGCATTACCTATTTTGCCTTTAAATTTATGTGATTACATTTTAAATACATTTTCTTTTGCCCTATATTGCTGACATGAATAAATTGGTGTGGATTTTTTTTGGGGGGGAGGGAGGGAGAAAAGGGGGAGGGTTGGTTGTTTTTTTGCCAAGCAGGCAAAAAGTTACAGGTCTTTTTTTTTTTTTTTTCACTGGCCTGGCAAGCATTCTTATCTTGAAGATGGCTTTCCTCTGTGGATTTACAGATTACATATAGAAATTAATGTAGAGCTAGGATTGCTGAATAAAGCTATTTGTATCCTTTGTAGACACTGTAGTAGATAACCCATCAAAACATAAACTCCGTTTTTCCTTTTTTTGCCCCCTCCCAAGAACATTTCAAATTAGCACATGTGCCACATTGTCACTGGCGGCAAATTGCAGCATAGCTCTGTATGTCTTTGAGATGAAGATTGTACTGTTGCTTTCATGCTGTGGTAAGTACCACATCTGCAATACAGGTAACAGAATTGCTACTTAGAAACTATGGTCTTTTTTGGAGCTATAACAAAGTAATTCCTACATAAGGTAAAATGATCCAAATCCAAACAGAGGGAGCCTAAAATTGTGGAAAAACATATCCATACTGAATTGCTCTGAAAATCAGTTGGGCTGCCATCACCAAGAGCAGCGCTGAGAAAAAAGTTTGTGCCTCTGGGGTGTAATACTTGGGTCAGCTGAAAAAAAAAAAAAAAAAAAAAACAAAACACCAACAAAATACATACCTTCTTATCCCTTTAGATATAAGCTTACAGTAGGTAATGATTATGTGTCCTTTTTGATGGCTGTAATGAGAACTTCAATCACTGTAGTATAAGATCTGATCTATAAATGACCTAGAATAGCCATGTAATATAATGTGATGATTCTAAATTTGTACCTATGTGACAGACATTTTCAATCATGTGAACCACTGACCTGATGGAGCTACAGTAAAATTTGTACAGTAGGTGAACATGTAAAGCTATTGGTTGGACTATGCTGAACAGGGAAAGCGAGCTATTAGTTAAGCCCACACTGGGCTGTTTTCCACCTGCCAATTCTACATGTACTTTTGTGGTTTAATTCATTGTATGAAAATTCCTGTGATTTTCTTTTTTTTTTTTTTATGTGCAGTACACATCAGCCTCACTGAGCAAATAAAGGGAAACGAATGTTTCAAATCCACTTCTGTTTCTCTTTTTTATCAAAAGTGACAGATTTCTCACCCAGCTGGTCATTGACTGGTTTTCTATTGCTCTCCTCAATGGTCACAGCTGATTTCAAATGGCCCAGAATCACACCTGCACCTCTGGCAGGGGGCAGAACCATCATTTTAATAATTGAGTAGCAGAAAGGTGATACCTGCTTTTTCCCCATAAATGCTTGAGGCTGTTGAAGAGCTAACATAAACCTTCTGGGAAGACTTTTGAAAAATGCTCAGTGGAGAGTTACGAGTTACTGGCTCAAGTTATGAGAGGGTGGGTAATGAAAGGCCATGCTTAGATCCAGGTTGTGCAGGAAAAAGGGACTGACAAATCCAAAATGGTTGGTATCTTCCATTCTGAGATGACAAATACCTTTGCTAGGAAATGGCAGCATCCTGACGTTCATTTGACATCACCTCTCTCAGACAGGCTAGGAGGATCGGACAAGTAGATATGATGACAAGCCAAGCTTTGTTGAATCCTTCCTGAACAATACAGTGTGCAGCATGGTGGCCTTCCACACCAGCATTGTCACTGGGATGGCAACAACTCTGTGGAGAAGTGCAGTTAGTACTCACAGCCCTTTCAGCTGTTCACTGATTCCCACATCAGAGAGTGCAGAGTGGGAACTGTGATGCTTACAGCTGGCATTTTCACCATTTCCAGATCTGAATTTTTATTGATGACCTGGATGAGGGCA